TTTTTATTTTCCGTGGCTGGGGCATTGTTCTTCTTCGGGAGCGTGTCATGATCGTCGCGTAGTGATCCGAGTGTCGAGTCGTATCCCTTTTCCGGTGGTTGAAATGTCCGTTACTGTATCAAAAAAATCAATAAATATTATCAGTGTTTTACAGTAGATTTTTAGGGATCGTTTTTGGTGCAGAGACGTCCGAAAGAATGTGGTTGGTTTTTTTTTTGTTTTTTGTTTTTGTCTCGTCAGTGTCAGCTGCTGGGTGTTTGTTTGGCACCGCTGCTGCTGATGTTCGGTGCAGATCGAGTGAGCGAATACAATTAAACCAGGGTGACACCTACCGGCATTGGATCTGTCTTTTTGTGTAGCACATAATGCCCTTTGTTCCACAGGTGTCGTGTCATCTAAACTATTTTACTGAGTCCCAAAATATTTCAATAATATACTGTACACTGTACCCCATTCTTCTGCATAGTTCCTGATGCGCATCATATAGTTTGGTATTTGCCTAGCAACTGCATTTTGCAGGAACCCCCAGCAAAGAATGATATGGCCTTCATCTGTATGATATGGCCTAAAGTTTGGCATACAGCCCAGTTTGCTGTACGCCTTCAGATTTAGTGATGCATGTGTACCATATGGTAAGCATTCAATAAATCTACAGCAAAACAAAGCTAGGCACACATTGATGGACATTGTTGTTGCACAAAACAATGGTGTCCCAGCAGTGCCACAATGCTGTGACACCATCGTCACATGTGGCAATGATGTCACAGCATGAAGGTATATATTGAACAAATTCCTGTATGTGTATAGATCAGTACCTGTATACATACAGGCTCAGGTTTTGTATGCATACAAAGTGGGTGTACATGTGTTCTGCCTTTTATGTGTACAGAATTTACTGTAAGGGTGTATGCTCTGGGCATATGGTTTTGGTGAACACTGGTGGTACCTTGCAATTTGACCCGGATCCATTGCTGGTCAAATTGCAAAGTGGTAAAATTGTGAGGCAATGTCACATGGCATTTGATTTTTCATGTCTCTCCACAGGTCAAATTGCAAAGAAGAGGTTGAATTGAGAGTTGAGCTCTGAGCAAATTCAACTGTCAAATTGCAGGATAGTTGAATTGTGGGAGGTTGAATTGCAAGGTACCACCTGTACCATCCTAGAGATGTTCATGCACAGTAGATGTACACCCAGATTATTTGCTGGGCTGTGTCATCATTGTCTGATCACTGGTCATTTACCTGTAGAGACTGTCCCATCAGTTCCATTTCTGTTCATGCATGGTCATACGCCATTTATTGAAAAAGGCCCACATTTATAAAGAAGTGTCTAAACTCTCTTTCAGAACCTCATTGTCAGTCTAGGCTCTCTGTTGAGTGTATGTTGGGAATTGTATAGATATGCTGCTTGCGAAGAGAAGTACCTTTAACTTCTTAGAAAAGCTACCCTGGCCAAAAGAAGTAAATCTTTGCATCAATTAGCATTTATCCTGTAGGAAATTTGGAGCAAAGTAAACGTATTGAATGCCAAGAGGAACGGTGTCTTGAGTTGAGATTGAATTCATTTTGCAATAACCTCCAACAGTATAGGACAACATGCAGTTATTGGTGCTTCACACAATGTCTGCCCATTCATGAGCAACTCTGCCAAACTGGATGTCGCTTAGTGACTGATGGAGCTGTCGGTAAAGCGGCGCCTTTTGCGACAGTGTTGGAATTTCAATGGTGCACCTGTCCTTGTAATGAATGGAACCTATTGGGGCTATGGACGCCGCTGTCCCCGTTCCAAAGGCTTCCAGCAACTGAAATGAAGACAAAATGTATGCTATATAGTACAACATATAGTAATGCGGTTGAATACACTGAAGTACAGTATATAATTGTGAGGTACACATCTAGCAATAACATGGTCTTGCGTTAGTTACAGTTACACACCCGACCCTGGGACGACGCCTTGACGAGATCTTGCATAGTGAAAACCCTCTCGCTGACTTTGCAATTGGCGACAGCAGAGCCGAGCTCAATCACAGACTGCCGATACACGCCAGGCAGAATGAGTCCGTCCAACGGCGGCGTCACTAGCTCCCTCTCTACGTGACACGGGCAAACACCATCATTCTTTCTTTCCCTCGCTTGTCGCTAGGTTACGCTCCGAAAACGATAGAAAGTGAGAGACACGAATACTGTAATCATCATCAGCTATAGCAGCAACTATATATATATGTATAGCTCACCGCCTTTGGATAATTCCAGCACAAAGAAAACGTTCATCGTGCCGGCCTCGGTGATCCTCGCGTCTTCGCCGTGCAGCCACAGCACTGAGGGGTAGCCCAACTTCTTGGCCTCTTCCTGTATTTGTATATACATAGACGACAAATAATGTAAGAACTGCTAGACTGCAGGCAATAAATGTGCAAGGAAGAAGCATGCAGCTATAGCATTTATTGGCGTGCGTGATGCATCATCAATCAGTTCATCCTATAGCACCTGGATTCGCAGCGGCGCAGCGTAGTTGCACGCCATCTTGTGGTCGCCGACGCCGCCGTACGAGGACCGGATGTAGCGTCCGTCAGCCAGGAGGTGGACAGCAGTGGTCGCGTCCTCAAAGTAGCTCTGCACTGGGCTCATGATGACAAAGAGCAGCGCGTCTCTTGGCCTGTCCACCCCAAGAGTGCCCTGAAAGAATACACATACGAAAGAAAGAAAGAAAGAAAGAAAGAAACAAAGCATGCAGGTATACAGTACTGCACAGCATTATCATTGCTGCTGATGATAATGATGATGATGATGAAACGACGACGACTATATTTAGTACAGTACAGTATATCGACTCAATTTGTTCCTCACTGTCGTGCCCATGAGAGTCGGGCGGAGGTAGAGGGAGCAGCCGTCGCCCAGGTCGCACTCTTGCGGCACCCACGCCCTGTCGACTCGCAACAGCTCTTTGATGCAGGCCAGGAGCTCTCGCTTGCTGAAGGCCGGCAGACACGTGCGCTCGGCCGAGCCCAGCATGCGCTCCATGTTCAGCTCGGGCCGGAACAGCCGCACTCGCCCGTCGGACCCGCGAAACGCCTTCATGCCCTCAAACACCTGCCTCCAGCATTGCACAGTATACGAGAATAAGACACACAGTACCGTGAATCACATGTATTCAATTATGAAATTATACAGAGGGAATGCAGTATTCATGGGTGAATGCTTGATGATGCATGATGCTAGTTTAATCATCATCCTCATCAGCTCACGGTTTATATATACAGCGCCATATATGTCAGGATACATTAGAGTACTTTACTGTATACTTGTGTGCTGTACAGCAGTTACTGCTGAATATACTTGAAGCAAAATGTTAAGCTGCTGCATGAGTACGTGATGTGTAAATCGACATTCAAGAAGGCGAAGCTATTTTATTGTACAGTACTGTACATCAGTCAGTGTAATTGTATACAATTTTTATAACGCACTTTTTTTTTTTTTGGAACGATTTTTTCTTGGTCCCAGCTGCTTCTTCATCATGATATGCGCCATTATATGAAAATCACGTTTCATTCAACTCATTTTCGAGTGTCATCTCCGCATTATGATAGTATAGATAGACTATAGAGCATCACAAATTATGGCCAGGATTTTGTGCATATCCCATTAAGATTACTTGATAATGGCGGAAAAAAAAAATCAAATTGTTGGAGCAGCATTCGAAATTCAGCCAAGAAATTGCAGTATTTACTTTCTGCATAGAAAAGTTGTACTTTAGGGAAACATACGGCATGAAATATATCTTGGAAGCTCCATTTGAGAATTAATGCATGCGCTTTTCATTCAAATGAAACAGAACATTCACTCTATTTCCAAGAAAGAAAAAAAAGCTATGAATTATTAATCTAGTTTCAAAAGAAAGTATTTCTCCCAAGTTTGCTTGTTTTTTATTTTATTAAATTTAAGACAAATAGCACATATTTCAGTAGAATCGCAGGTTAGATAGATGTAAGAAAAGTACATTCAAAAAGTGTTCCTCTTCAATTCATTGTAGGGAGTGTAAATAAGATACCCGGAATTTATGACAGGTCTTGAATTATCTCTTATTGTTGAAGCACTTACTGACTGTATTTATTACTCATTTACCAGCTCAAAATGTCTGCCTAGCTAAGCATGTATTGTTGGAAATGAGGAATATCTAAATACAGTAGTACAGTATAAACTTCGGTCATTACAACACATTTTCAGAGGTTTGTGGGAGTTTCTTGCAACACGATTTTGATGCTAACAGGAATGATGAAACATTTGAATAAGGCTATATACTGTACTGTATAAAGTAGCAAGCAATGTCCAAGAATGGTATACAAACTTTGGCGGAAGTGATGAGATACAAGAGTTCATGTATGAGTTATATGTTTTCATGTATAATTAGTATATATTGTATGTGTTTTAATTGTACTATCATGTACATTGTCACACAATGTACTGTAGTGGTGTATAGGATATAAAGATACAATAATAAGTGAAGCCGCACTATATACAGTGCAGCAGTACTCACGGAAGTCGCATAATGCAGCACTTTGGCAGCCGGATGCAGCTCCAGCAACTTGAGTGGCCCGATCCGGGGTCTGCCCCAGGACTGGCCAAAGGACCACTGCACAGTCAGCATGTGGTCAGTGAACATGCTGCCAAAGTCCAGACTGCTGCTGCCTGCGAGTCGATCCCACGCGGGCTTCTCGGTCAACTCCTTCTCGAGGTCAGCAAACTAAAATCAATATAAATATATATTGTCCGTATTATTCCATTATTCTCTTTATTTCACCAACGAATTTTCAATTCTTTCCTTCTTCATTCATTCAATTTTTTTTTAAATCTTCATCATGGACATACAGTATATATATATATGTATATATTGGCTCCAATAAATACTGATTGTCTTTCTCTCATCAAATCCTGCATGCACAGTACAGTACTGTACATTCACTTTCTCCCGGCCTAATTTTAAAGGTGTACACTCTGCATTATGCAACCTGACTGCTTTGGAAACCCAGTAAAGAAAGGCTATACAGGTGAGTTTGGTCACATAGAATGACGAAAAGTGAATCTGAGCAGAATCTATTCATGATTGATTATGCATGTACAGTACTGTACTGTATGTACGTTTGTTTGTTCGTTTGTGGAAAACAAGACGATGAGTGTGCATTTTGCTTTATACTGTATATACATGCACTCATCTTTCTCCACCATACATAATGTGCTGAAATGGACCATGGTTCACCCCTTGCACATATATGCCTAAGAGGTTATTACCCTTTTTGCGCTGCTCTGCATTCACTGCACTGTTATTTAATTCTGGTATTTTGTTTTTTAAAACCATCACATCATCCAGGATCAATGATGCCAGTATATATATTTTTTTTAAACATTACAGTACGGTACTTTATCATATCTCGTGTAATAACGCTGAGTATACATCATCAGCAGTGAACGTCACACATGCACTTGTGGCCCATTTCTTCTGTTACAGCTAGTAAATATATACTCGTAAATATATATATGTGGACTGCTGGACCTCATGTCATGAAAAGACAAAGCTCTCATATATACAGTATAAGATATCTGTATGAGCATTGGCTTTTATGTAAATTGAACATTCGTTCTACTGTTATTCATTCTGCATTTACTGTACTGTACTGTACTGCATCAGCAAAGGAACCTGCTGTGCTCAAGACTTGATTACGACAAAAGCTTGCCTTGAAACTTGGACCAGAATCCAATGGACCATACGAGTCTGCATCCGGTGTGTTGCTGGAAAAAGCCCTGTGCTGCTGCAGCTGCTGACGACGACAGGCTCTCATCGTCACATGGCTGAATCTTGTCCGCCTTTGATGCTGCACTAGGGGGGCCTATATATACATAATAGGAGACATTCCACAATACAGTATTGCAACGACGAAAATAATGAAAGAATCGGACATGCATGCACCGTATCCATCGATAAACCAGCAGCCTATTGCATTATATAGCCAGCAGCACGCGTATTTTCTTTCAAGTACAGCACTATATTTAAATTTACATACATGTATATGTGCATACAGGAGGACTCTGTATTTATACACTGAAACGTGATTTTCATTGCGTGCGTAATGAATTTATTCTTGATCCTTTTCAATTTTGATGTGTACCAATAGAGTTTATACTCACCTGAAAACATTCATAATGCGTACTGTAAAGAAGAAATAGGGGCGGGTCATATACTGTACATTACATGGGAAAACCTAGAAGGTGTCGACATCAGAAGTCGGACTGCTGCCTTTCCGGTCATGCTGGGTCCCAGCAGAGGAGGAGGAAGAAGAAGAAGGAGGATGATGTATAATTTCTCTGTAATATGGGATTAAAATAAAGGTTTATTGCTTAATTACCCATAAATATATATATATATATATATATATGCACCTTACATATGGGTTGAGTGTAAGGCACGTCGACATACATGTACTGTACTGTACATGTCTTACATGTGAAAAGAAGAATCGCACGCTACACTGCATGTACTGTGTATGTATTTATCTTCATTGTTATGCGACAGAAGGAGCTTTCATTAGAAATTAAGATTCTTTCTGTTTGTTTTTTTGTTTTTTCTGTGGCTATATAGAGTCGTGGATCTCGTACTCGTTGAAGGTCCATCCCGTCGATTTCTTGGAATGATGATGATGATGATGATGATGATGCTGTAATAATAATAATAATAATAATTACTCTACAGTCTACACCATGCTGCAGCATCATTTTATATATTTAATTGTTGTTGTTGTTTATTGCTGGCCATAGACTTATTGCAGTGTTGTGTGTATATACATATATATATATATATATATAGGCCATTGTTTCTTATTGAAACGTGATACAATGAATGGGGTTCGTCGTCATCAATTTTTCAGCCGATAACGAAGCCTCCCTCGGTCGAAGCAGCAGCAGCAGCGGGGACAAATGACGCGGGGTTATTTTCTCTCTCTGCGCTAATCACTTGTCGCTTTGGCTTCTTCTCCTCACACACTTGAAAAAGGGTTTGTTTCTGTATACTGCGTGTGTGTGTGTGAGGATGTGTTTGTTCATATGAAAATGGAAGACTGCTGAACGAGGGAGGTTAAAAGAAGAGAGAAAAAAAGATGAAGAATATTTTAAAAGTGGGAATGTTTTTCCGACACTGACACGGACACACACACACACGTGTGCGTGTGTGAAGGCTATTCATCGTCGTCGCAAGAGGAGTGAATGGATTGATTCGTCATTCCTCTTTCTTTCCATGCAGAGAGATACAGCAGAGGGCCGAGACACTAGAAGATATCGAGATATGCAAAGAAAAAGAAGAAGAAGAAGAAAAAAAAAAAAGAAAGAGAGAGAGAGCGACTTGGTCTCAATAAATGACCCGTGAATTGAATTTCTCATTGCTCCTGCCTTTCAATTTTTGTTTCTTTGGTTTCTCTCACCTGTTGCTCGTTTCTTTCTTTCTATTTTTATTTCTATACAGTATATATACGGTATAAACACCGATGATGAGAAAAGAAAGATGCATACAATTTGTTCCTTTTGCCTGTGCTTGAGCTGGCGAAACCCGAATTTCCTGGGCTTGTGCCAATAATAAAGTCACCTTTTTTTTCTACTTTTTTTTCTTTTTTTTTCTTGCCGTGTTAAATTTATTCCTTGCCTGGAAACCTGGGCGACAGTCTTTCATTGAGTGACTTTCAGATTCCGTGATGTGTGTCTCGATTTTCATTCCGGGCTTTTTGCGGAATAAATTCAACTACTTGTAAAACTAATTTACTGTACGTATATTGGTTCTGCTCTGCCTATACTATATACTGCATATGCAGTTTTGCAATGATGAATCCAGTATTTAATTTTATTTTTCATTTTCGCTCGTGAGCAGATATGTGAGTGTATATACTTGTATATACATCATTGTGATTTTAGGAAATACAATCGGTGTGGTGCAATTATTGGCAAAAGTCAAAATATTATTCCCATTTCACACTCTCTTTGATAATGCTTGCCTTGCATTTTAAATTTATTTACAGAATTGATTACATTCATTTTCACCTGGAACTGCTGCTTTCTTCTTTTTTGAACAAGCAAAATAGGTATTTGCCGAGTCCCTCATGTTCAGATGTTGACATGTCAGGATTAGGAAGTTGGGAAAGTATTTTGTTTGTCTCTCGATTCTTATACTGTACTGCGCACTGTGCAATACTGGGAGAAACATGATGAAAATTGTTTCAGTTGCATCCACCAGCAGATGAGAGAATAAAATCTGAATATTTATTGTTAAAAAAATGCCTTGAGATGTTTTAGAAATACTCTTGCTCATGCATTATTTGATGAACTTGACTGCTTATTTGGTGGCAAACCAATGTTTTGTTGAAATACTGTAATATATTTCTCGCGTCTGTTTGTTATAATTTACGTAGTGAAATTGAAGAGTAATAGGAAACACTGACCATCATTTACTGCATACGTATTTGTATATGGAGTTTATTTTTCCATTCTATATCACAATATCAAATACAGTAGCATAAAAGTCAACTGACAGTATATATGGTTCATATATGCTGCTTTACTTTTTTTTATCTCTCTCTCTCGCTCTCTTTTATTTTGTATTTAAAAAAAAAGGAAATAGAGTACTGCTGTACAATGTATGATGAGGTTTTCTTCTTATTGTCAAGTCAGTCACCCCTCGAGTCGAGTTTTGAGCGTCGGGTGGCGAGAAGTCATTCCATTCCATTCCTGATGGCGTTTTGATCAAATGCCAGACACATGTTGGGTCGGGTCAGGGGAATGCCGGTAAAAACCGAAAAGGGTACAGTACAGTCCTGACCTGACACCGGACCTGCTGCTGCTGCTCAAAAACGAGGCCTCCACAACTGAGTGATTTGACATGCGTCGCTCTGACCCATGTACTATAGTGTATTTATTCCGTTTATTGGCGGCTTCTTCTTCTTCTTTCTACATGCATCAGCACATGCCTACAGTGTATACAGTACTGTGAAAGCATTTCTAGGAACACTGCGGATGGTTTCTGGGAAAACATGTCGGCTATATAGCCCAACAAAAAAAGAAAAAAAAAAGAAAAAAGAGAACGATGAAACACCGAGAACTGTGTCTTGTGGATGCATACGAGTATATATACTCTACATATAGGTTCGATGAGGGTGCAACTGGTTGGTTGGTTGTTTGGTGGGTGACATGAGCACACGTCACCACCACCACCACCACCACCTGCGCCCGGGGTTTTTGCTTGTACCAGCACTGCTGCTGCTGCTGCTGTTGATCGGGTCTCGGCACATATATTATTAGGCTCTCGACATGACTATAGTACAGTACAGTACAGTATATATACTGTCGCAGCACTTGTGTACCCTGCTGCTGGCAAAGAGACCCCACCCCGGAATAAAAATAGTATGAAAGGAAATGAAATAAACGAGACTCGACTCTGCTTAAATTTAGCACGACCCCCGCACTACACCACGTACGGCTTCTGCTCATCGTCGTCGTCGTCGTCGTCGTCGTCGTCGACCGACAATCATCACAGGAGAAAAGAAACGGGAATCAAGGGACACGGCTATATTACAGTATACAGTATGACAGTACTACATTCTACCGCGAGTGCCTCTGCTCCATCATGCTGCTTCATGGATGATGCTGTGATATTATTATTATTATTATTACTAATACTGCATTATATGGTTGATGGCCGGTAAAGTCTAATAGCCATCACCACCTAAACTTGCACCATGCTCCAAATGTTGATGGAGAGAGAGAGTGAGAGAGCGAGAGAGAGGGAGAGGGACACTCTCCCTGCACTTACAGTACTGCATTTGCGCAGCTGCTTCCCGTTTTTACAGTACTTGATGGTGGTGGTGGTGGTGGCAATGCGCGTAATGGTGCTGTGTGTGTGTGTGTGTGTGTGTGGGTTGTGGAGGCAGTATAGTGGCACATCCGCACCCTCAAGGGAGCTAGAGGTGGGGTGACACCACAGAGTAATACTGTACAGAGTGTTTCCTCTGAATCGTCGGACCACAATATGTCCCGATTGAAACGACCAATTTCTTATACTGTACTGTACACGGAAAACGGTGCTTATTGGTGGAAAAAATTAAATGAAAATAAACGACTGCTTATTTTAAAGTGAAAGCGCAACACCTGTCTTTTCCTCACCGTCGCCATCATATATAGGTATGATGCTCGAATGATCATCAGCTGCTGATGGTTATATTCTCACGAAATGAGTCAGAAATACTATACTATACAAGTATACAATAAATAAGAATAACCCACTTCTCGATAAACAGTACTCGGCCTTTTTTAAATGGTTCTAAAATTCCTTTCCGCGAATATTTACAGTACTATGTATACTCATGTCTATTACCACGTTTTTATGAACTCACTTTCTTGTCTGTCTGTCTGTCTGTCTGTTTATATTTTTTGCTTTTTGAAAACGTGGTTTTTTAGATTAATTTTTTAATCTACTATAATTATTTTATTTACCATTATTTGAAGAAAGGAAAAAAAATAACAACACAAATAAGGACGAGTTCCTTTGCCGCTGGTTCAACTCAAGTTTATATATGGTGCATTCAACTTTAATAAACTCGCACATCTGAAAACTTATCGGCGGAGGAAAAAGAAATAAGGCTCAGGTTTTTATCTGGAAGAAATTTCCAAACTTGCTATGGTCAACTGACCTCACGTTCCATAGAGTGTTTTGTCAACTTGAATTTGAGGGATGTCCAGTACTTTAGTCAACATCATTGCATTCACTTTACTCGAGTACGAGGAATGCATAAGTGACTTCTAAAATTATTTGCGGAAAAATCATAACGTTGATCGGCATACGTATGATTTCCCTCATTTGAATAGTCCGTCGCAAAAAAAAAAAAAACACTCCGATTGCATTCACAAGTTTTGATAATGAAGTCAATAATGAAGGAAACTTGGCGTTTTTGGCAGGGGAAAAGTGCAGAGATAGAGGGTACATTTTACAGGAAGATGAAATTTGGTCATCTTCTGCTGATGCTTGCCTTATTGAAATCTGCTGGGTCAGCAGTGCATTAATATGGAATGCCGAGCAATATATCGCAGGCAAGCTGGGCTAATATTTAATTAGCTCACTTATTATTGTCCATCCATCAATCATCAGCACTTGAATAGCATACT